CAAACATGACTGAAGTTATTTGGGTTATGTAGTAAGAAGATTAAAGCTAAAATGTCCTGTTTGTTTTACCAGTAGTGGGTATAATGGGGTGACAAAAAATAAAAATACAAATGGGTATCAAATTAGTAATTTTAACCTAGCAGATTATATCCAAGTCATGATCATTTCCATAATGTCAGATGTTTTGATACAGAAAACATCATGTATCTTGTAACTGTCTAGGCTGGCTTACCTGTTTCAAGTATACTTGTTGCTTTATTACATTTGCAGTGATACATGTTATAAATGGCTTCTGTTTCAGTTCTTGCCACATTTATGTTGAAAAGAACATTTTTGAGCCCAGTATTGTATTGAATACGAATAGGAATGTCACACTCTGTGTTTAAACATGTCCTGATCGGGCCTTTTCACTAAACATTGTATGGAAATGGAAATAAAAATATTTAATTGGAAGGTATGAAAAGTTTGAATTAGTTTTATGCCAATGAATATTGTACTTTTAAAACTTTGTAATGAAGTAATCGTTACCTGCAATTATTATCAGTTTTGCTTTGTGGTATGTTTTCATATTCATCTCTGATAAAACCAGAAATATGGAAGATTTCGTCCAAACAAGGTTTAAAATAACAGTTGCTGAAACTGATAGACTGGAATTTGCTATTCATATAAATGTAGTGATATTCTATTATTTAATGCTTTGAATCTACGGCTATGTTTAGATATGCAGTTATTTTATTTTACGTAAGCCTCATTTCATTCAAGATGTCAGGATGTCAATACCGCACAGAATCTATTTCTTCACCAAATGGCGAAGAATTTCTTATGAATTTCATGGGTGAGGACAGACTTGAACCTGTCCTAATGGACCTTATCCAACATTTTAACTACTGCATGACACTGACTCTCTCTTTGTGTGTGTGTGTGTGTGTGTGTGTGTGTGTATGCACGCGCGCCCACACATATGTATACACATGTACATCTTTAAGTTCATGTCAGTGACAAGTGAAATCTTGCCAAGATTTCAAAAGTGGTTTCCAATTATCTGCTTCCTAGAGTTGAAGTCACCCAATTTGCTTTGTGCCTAAGACAGGACTAGAACTCACAATCTCCTGGTTTCTAGCCTGATGCCTTAACCGCTCCACCAAATTGGCTTTCCTGACTTTCTTTAAAGAAGAGTATTTTAGAAACTTACTGTGCCTGCCACAGTGGATGTATTTTACATATTAATTTTCTGTAGAAAATTTGCTGTGAATATGCTTGGTAAATTAAAAAAAAATGTTATATCGCTCAATCTCCTCTTTCAATAATTGAGAAGCTTGGAAGACAGACAGGCAAGACCAATTTCACATCCTAATGCCAGACAGCTGAGTTTCCTTGAAACTTCAGCACTTTTACATCTATTCCATGTGAAAAATACTTGGGTGTCTCTATTGTAGTTATATGAGATAAGCTTTTCTTTAGCCTTCATCTGACACTATGATAAAAAGTTATAGGACAACTAATACCAGTAGATTGAAGTTATTTTGTCCTATGGGCTATCATAGATGCCTGATATGCCATGTTGTCATTTCATTGCAGAATGTTTGCTGACGTCTGAAAAGATGAATGTTCAGAACATTTTTTTTCATGATGTTATTTGTGCTTTTCCCAGTCTGATGCCCCCTAGATGCATTTCACTGCAACTCACGTGATCCCAAAACAGTATGTTGGCTAATATCGTCATTCACTATGCATGTAGATGCATTTCACTGCAACTCACGTGATCCCAAAACAGTATGTTGGCTAATATCGTCATTCACTATGCATGTAGAGAAGGTGGTTGCATTGCAACTTCAGAGGACTTTACAAGAAGCAAATTATCTGGGTTTCATTCAGTCAAGCTTCTGGTTTGGGTAAAGTACTGAGATGGTATTGGTTGTACTCTTAGATAACTTCTGGTGGGATCAAGATGGTAGTGGTGCATCCATCTTTCTTTTCTTGGCCTCTCAGTGGTTTTCAGTCCTATCAACCATAGTATCTTTCTGGACTGACTTTGGAGATTGGCAGTGAACAGCCTGGACTTGTGCTTGTTCTCCTTCTTCCTCTGGGATTGTTTCCAGTCAGAGTTGATAGACCGCAAGAGATCTAGCTGACATCTCCTCAGGACTCAATATTCTCTCTTTTCCTATTGTAACATCCACATGAGATACCATCAATATTTTGATGATATCCAACTTTATATCTTCACTCCAGGCTACCTGACTGATGCTATGGAGATTCTGTCTCAGAGATTGGCAAGGCCTGGATGGGTTGCCACAGGCTTTAGTTTAACCCAAGCAACACACATAAAGGCTCTGGGGTTTGGACCTCTTGGTTTCTAGGGACCTTCCTTTTTGATGGCACTGCCCCAAAAGACCTGGTACACAACAACAACCCCGAAATCATACTTTATATAGGAAGGCCTTTGCACAGTTTAGCTAGTTGCACTCATTCCTGAAGTTGCCAGGTGTGTGGCTCTGCTGATAATCACCCATGCCCTTGTGACCCCATATTGGATTGCTGTAATGCACTTTATATAGGGCTGCCCTTGAAGGAAATTGAGAAGTTTCAGCTGATGCAAAAATGTAGCAGTGTGGGCGCTTACTGGTGCCAGTTACCTGGCAGGTGTGATACCACTGAGGCATATGGGGTTTACAGAGTGCTTCTGGGTGCAGTTCCAGCTGCTGGTGTCACCTTTGAAGCCCTTCATTGCTTAGAACCATCTTTCTCCAATTGTTCCTACTTGGCCCATCTGATCTGGAAAGAAGGGTGTGCTCCAGTTACTGTTAGCTGGAAGGAATCAGAAGAAGACCCTTTTCTGCCATATTTCTGAAAATATGTATGTATGTGTGAGACAGAGAGAGGGAGGGAGGGAGAGAGCAAGCAAGAGAGTGCTACTGTATTTAAAAAAAATGTTTGAAATGTTGTTTTGTTAACAGAATGTGATGAAATTTACTGTGATGGTAGCTCCTGTATGTGAAACATTAATTTCCGTATGCTACGTTTGGACTAATAGGTTGACACAATTTGGTACAAAGGGAAGGCATGTTCATGGGATATTATGCTTCCTGTTCTGCCATGGAGCTGCTTTTTAGGAAAGATTGAAATATAAGAGATCAATTCACTATTTTTGATGACATTGTTGTATATGTGTTTGGGTGTGTAATTTGCCAAAAAAAAAGTCTATAGTCTGGGTCAGCTTATTCATAAAGGCAACAAAGAGAATGATTATTTCAATTTATTTTCAAATTATTTTAAGCCAGACTACAAAACAAACTCTGCAAGTGGTCTTAGAACTATAGTTTATTGATAAAAACTCTAGTAATAACATCTTGAAAGACTGATGGCCTATTTCCTTTCTTATACTCCATGGGGTATAGCCACACTGCATTTTTTCCTAATGTTTTTTGTCTGTTCACCTGCTTGTTTGTTTCCCCGATTTAAAACATGTTTTGTAACCATTTCAGCACAGTTTCTTCAAAGCTGACTTTGTGGCCCTCTATATCATAAAGGCAAAAACCCTTTTAACACCCAAAATGAACACTGCAGTTGAGCAATCATTGTAAGAGTATTCCCAAGTTTCACTCTGATTTTTAGGCATAGTTTTGTGTAAAAAACCCCAAACAAACAGAATTATCTAGTCAACCCTGGGAAAATGAAAATCTATTTTGAATTAACCTCTTTGGGTTATGCTGAATCTAGCGCTCATCACCATTAATATTAGTTTTTTAATGTGTACTATATATTGAGAAGCCCTTGATGATTTAATAGAAGAATAAGTTCATAGGAATGAAATATAATAATAAAAAATTAAGTAAGCATGGATATTTTCTGTAATTTCTTCTCAGCAGTCTCCTTTCTTATTGTTATCTCAAGCCCTGTGTAAGACAACCAATATTAAAGAGCTTTTGATTATATTCCCTGCCAAGTTTATTTAAAGTCAATTGTCACATAGCTCTGAACAGCTATTTTAATAGCATGATGGATGTTCATTATCTCAAGTGAATGTCTTAATATTTGTGAGTATATTGTGACTGTATGGGTGTCAACCTGTGGAAAGATTAAAGTATGTGAGTCAAAGGATACTGCTTATTGTGTGAAGTAATTAGTAGCATTATTGTAATATGAATACATGCTGTAGTTATGATTCTTCAATTTTTCATAATAGAATCTGTCTACATGAGAAGCTTTCATTACTTATTATTTTCTGCCTGACAAAGGAAGGAAAAAATGAATATGAAGAAGTTGATTCATTTGATACAGCTGGGTAGAACCCAATAAATTATACTACACTGTTATCAGTGTACTAAAAGGGAGCAACAAGGACATGAATATCACTGTATAAGTAGTAAAAAGACACTTTTAATCAGAAGTACTTACATCAGGAACTATGCAAAATGTGGCAAATGATTTTAATATTTGGTCCTAAAATAATTATGCCAGTTTAATATCCAGATGTTGTAATTTAAAGTTTTTTTTAATCATTTTACCCAGACTTTCCATGACAAACTTTCTGAGATGATGAAACAAAATGAAAAACATTTCATTTCATATGTGGAAAATGTGTTATTTAGAAATATATAGAGAATTGACAATAGCAAATGTGATCCCTGTTTAGGGATCACTAGGGCTCCTATTAATTTCCTAGAATGATAAGATTGGAAGGTCTTGGAGGTCTTCTAGTCCAAATTCCCAGCAAGATCTGGAATCCTCAGACTATCACATAAAAATCGCAGCCCAACTAAAAACTTGAAAATTTCAAATGATGGAGCATCCATGACTCCTATAAATCTATAAATCTATTTTGTTTCCTCAGTTTTATATAGACAGAGATCAGAAGTAGTTATTCAATCACACAGGATCAAATGTGTGTAATGTCAATGGCAATTGCATCTATACGAATAATTTTTGTCATGTTCATTTATATGCCACAAATGTGTTATCTGGTGAGAGGTAAACATGCATTTTTTATTTTTAACTAGGTATTAAAATAAGCTTTAAAACGGCAGAATTAGATGGTCTACTTTTTCTCTCTATGTCACCTGGTAATCAAGAAGAATACATTGTCCTTCAGTTGAGAAGAGGCCGTCCTTACTTTCTCTTTGATCCACAGGTAAAATAGTGAAAGTTGTATGGCTATTTTTAATAATACAGTTATGTATGTATGTTTGCTCTTTCCCTGCTTCTCATAAGAGACTAATGTAGTGGTCAGGGTTACAGTTTATCACCCTAAACCATAGTCAGTCAGTCAGTCAGTCAGTCAGTCAGTCAGTCAGTCTCTCTCTCCCTCCCTCCCTCTCTCTTTCTCTCTCTCTCACAATAATTTTATAACTATAGTTGTATCAATAACATCATTATAAAATCCAAATAGCAACTATGTCATTAACAGTGTCCAAATACACTCTATGTTCTCCTGTCATCCTTATTAGTCTCCAAGGACTTGCCTGTTGTGATGGAATGTGCACCACTGGAATGTGCATAGGGGTAAGATTTTGCCAACTCAATTTGCCAAAAAGGATGCAAACATAGGTCTAGTATTCCTTGTCTGCCAACATCACTTCAAGTATTTCTTCTATTACTTCATTTCCTAAAGTTTCTCTATAATCCAGAATCAGTGTTAAAATGTTCTGGGGCAATCCCATCAAAAGCCCCCATTACATTTTGTTCCAGAGGGTGATTAAAAACCCAATGAAATGGCTCTCATGTCATTTTGAAGTTGTCATGTATCTTCTGAAATAGCAATAGCATTTAGATTTGTATATCACTTCACGGTGCTTTATAGCCCTCTCTAAGCATTTTACAGAGTAAGCATATTTTCCCCATTTTACCAACCTCAGAAGGAGGGAAGACTCAGTCAACCTTGAGCTGGTGAGACTTGAACTGCCAAACTGCAGGGAACCAGCAGTCTGCAGAAGTAGCCTGTAGTACTGCATTCTGCCACCACAGTCCAACTGAATTCATCTGATACTTGACGCAAACTTAAGCCTATGCCATATTGGAATAGTTCTGATTCTGAGCTATTCAAAAAGCTGCCTACAGGGTTGGCAAGGCGAAATCAACCATTACTAGCATCCTGGATTTGATGTACCCAAGGTTCTTCTAATGTATACTCTGTTCCCAGTAATGGGATAGCTAGCCATATAATTCAGGAAAATAGAGAAATGAAGCATGAACAGTAAAGACCTATTATTTTGATAGACCTGATGTATATTACATGGCATCTTTTTCTAAAGTAGTGTCCTCCGGATGTACTAGTATACAACTTTCAGAATTACTGACTAGCATAGCTCTGGAGTATTTTGTCTGACAATTTATGGAGGCCCATGTTGAGAAGAGTGGATCTATTGTAGAATCTTGGATATATCTATCCTGAAGATCATAGTGCCTGGTAAAAAAAATTCTGTGACCTATAAAATAAAGTGAAAACTTGCACATTAGAAATTATCACAAATAAGCTAATAGAAATCCATTCAGCAAGCAGCATCACTTGGTTAATTTATCTCAGAAGCTGAGCTGAGAAGCATTGTGGCTTGGTTACTACTAGGATGGGAGACACAGAGGGAATATCATAGTGTAGGCTAGACTGCATAGTTGAAAAATCCCAGAAGACAGAAGCAAACCTTTTTGGATTGCTGCCAAGAAAACAGCATGATTTGAACTGTGTAATCACCAGGAATTAATCTCAGCTCAAGGGGACATTATTTTCATAGGAACTGTCTTTTTACAAACATTTCTCTTTTGCTTTTATCTTTAACTAGTAAAAAAGTAAAGTTTTTCTCAAGTAAAACTCCACTCTTATTAGTTTCATGGACATCTACAGGTACTAAATGTGAAAATATTCCAAATTTCAATGGCAAACCTTCAGTAGCACTATAGTAGGATTTTTTTTAAAGGAGCTAATGTGCCCAAACTACTCCTAGAATGTGAAAGGAAATAATTGAATCAGTTATGCAATTTGTATTTTGAAATAAAGTCTTATTGGATTTTATTTCCATTCTGTAAGTTCATATGTATGTTCATATATAATTTTCTTCAACATATTATGTCATACTAATTTTTGCAGGGAAGATAAAGAGATAGAGCATGCATTCCATAGTATCTGGATTGTACCTGAGTCAGAAAGTACAATACAAAATTCAGAAATTGAAAAATAACTTTATTGTAGCCTACATATTATTTGGGCAAGTGCAACTTCAATAGATTCACTTAAAAATGTGGATTTAAAAATGATTCCCATTATTCCCAGGACTGCATGTTTTCAAGTGCAGCTTGCTTTCTACTGGGTCCAGACAAGAGAAAGCTAGACATTTCACCAAAAATGATCAACATATAGCTATAATTTGTGTAATGTCTACTCTTGTTAATTTGTGCAGCATCTTGCTTAAGATACTTAAATGTGTTTATGGATGAAAGACGTTTACTTCAAAGCAATTTCTATTAAAGATGATTGCAGTGTTGCAAAGTAAATGGATTGTGGACTGTAGACAAATTCAGCTTTCCACATGCTACAGAAACACTGGAAGGAATACAGATCAAAACTACAGACCTTGCTTCCATATTTACACTGTGTTTGGCATATGTGGTTATATAATTTGAAATTGAGAACTTACATATGTGATTTTAGATAAATAACATATAATACTCCAAATTGTTGCCAAAATATATAAAGAATCACTTTTGTAGACACCTGATCTTTGGCATGCAGCATCGTTTGTAACAATTTTAACGCTAACTAAGTACACTTTGATGAGACAGCATTTAATAAAATGCTCATTAATTTCATCATTAGCAAGGGTATGCTAAGAAGTAAGCCAGTTTCTTATGTCACGCCCAATTAGCATCCCATGCTAGTAATCCCATTAGTATTGTTGAATTCACTAATGGAAAAACTAATGGGCATGCTACCAGGGCACATTAATTGGGCATGACACCAGTTCTGGTTTTAATTATTAAACTATGATAATGAAATGTGTGTTTGTAAAATATTAAAATGTTGAAATAGGGTGGAAGACAATAAAAATAGTGTATGAATAGAGCATGAGCTGATTCATAAAATGCATTACCATGGAATGGATAACTTTTCTATACATAATATATGCTTACTAAGATAGCATGAAGTTTTAAAGTGTCTGATGAATCAACTTAAACTTCCCTATGGCAGTTGTGAAGTTTTCCACTAATGCACTGATTTTCAGAGAATTAATGCTTATGGGAAATATCACAAAGTTCTGAGCATACTGTGAACTAAAAAATTTAGGTGATAGAAACATCATAAAAACACACAGGTGACCCCCTCCCCTCCAATTAATTATATTAGCGATGCTTATAATTATTTCTGTACTTCTAGAATGTTAGATTAATGCATTTCTAGAATATCCCTATGATAAAGATAAATAACAGCAAACTTTTAAGAGCAGGTTTGGGATATGTGATAGCTGCAGATAATATGCTCTGTTAAATACATTAAATATATTTTGAACATTTCTCAGCTGTTGAAATTGTGACCTGTTGTCCATTTTTAATTGCTGGATAATTTATTTTATGCAAAATAAATAATGTGAATTTAAATTAATTGCCATTCATTTTAAATGACAAACTTTAAACTAAGAATGGTTCTGAATCAATTAAAATGGCTTAAGTCACTCAAAAGTTAACATATATATTTTTGATTGTACATCATGTATTCACTCACTTTCTTGTTCTAAGGGATATTTTTAAGTTTGCATCTGTTTTCATAGCTTCACCAAATTTAAAATGTGTGTTTGTATGTGTGTGTATATACAATGAATAAAACTTAATATGAAATTATTATATACAAATTAAGTATCACTTTCAAATGTCATATGCTCACTTTTGATCTATATTTTTTAAAAAACTCATTATTCTAAAATTGCTATCATTTATTTATTCAAATCTAGCTTCTACATGTCTTTTGAATAGAATCTTCCTTTTCAAGTTTGTAGGCACAGTGCCATAAAGAATTGTTCATAAATAATCTGTGAAATGTTTTTTAAAAATGGTATTATATTATATTGATCTTTTGTGCCTTTGGATACAGAACTAAGACCCACATTATTTCACTTCCTACATTCATATAATATAGTCTGCAAAATTAAAGCAAAATCAGAACAGGGAAGTATTTTGATAGAAAACCAATAGGAAATATGAACACTGCAGACTAGACTCTGAGATTGAAAAAAGAAAGTCTGTCTCCATGATCACTTCCATCAACTTTAGATCTGTTGCTCTTCTGATTCCAACCCACTTTAGAAGATTACTAATGTAAGGATAAAATGATGGAAGATCCCTATATAGCCTTCGTTGAAGTTCTGAAGGAAAGATGGAACATAAATAAATAGAAACAAATATTTCAATTACTTTTTAAACTGTGGATCACAGTTCCTGCATGATGAACAGGTGCTAGCTGTGGCTTGGAAGACATTTCCACAGCCTCATATGGTGTACAATTTGCACCCTCTCTTGGATTGGGAAGGCCTGTCACTCATTCTTTATTAGCCCCATGTGGAAATTTCAGCTAGTCCAGAATGCAATGGCAAGGACACTGGTGGGCATGCCTCCATATGCCCATGTGTCAATCCTGCTCCTCAATTTGCACTGATTACCAGTTAGCTTCTAGATGCCGGTTACAGATTATAACCATATAACCAAATCCTACATAGCACTGAGGCTGTTTATCTCAGGGACTGTTTGTCTCGTGTGGTGTGTTTTCAGCCAATGTGAGCCATAATTTTGAGTGATCCACATTTATTCAATTATTCATATTTTGGAACCCTAGAAGTATACCTGTTTTGCAATGGTGGCTTCCAGATTCCTTTCCAACTGGTACGGTTGGAACATCCCTGGCATCACCCACATGGATGCACACAGTGCGTGCATGCATTGTACTTGCCTGCAACGCTTCCGCAAGCCTCCGCAACACTCCAGCTGCTCGGCGGAGCATCACTCAGGTGCCATATGTGCTGTGCATGGAAGTTCCAAAGGACAAGTAAGGAGCTTGGGTGGGCAGGTGAGCCCTCCGGAGCACTGTACCGGAATGGTATCCAATGCTCCGGGCAGGCTCCGGTACACCCATACGGGGGCATACTGGCTGAAACCCACCACTGCTCTTCTGTCACAGTACCTACCTATTGGAATATGGTTCTCCTGAGATCCATGTTCCTCCCACCAAATTCAGGGCTAGGTTGAATTGCAAAATGTATTTGCAATTATTTTCTATATTGTTGACCAAATTCACTATTTTGTGTGTGCGTGTCTTAATATTATTTTAAAAACTCCTTATATTCCTATGTAAAAAATATTGTTTCTTGTCTTATTATATTGTATTTTATTTTGTGAGCTACTTGGAATCATTCTGGAGTTGTGTAATGTTTAAATCAAAATCATTATTGTTATTATTATAGGGTTCTGCTATTGCTGTAACTCCAGAAAATGATGGTGGAAGGCAATATAATGATAACAACTGGCATCATATAAGTGCAGTAAGAAATCAAGCCTTGGGAACAATAATTATAGATGAGCAATTCTCAGGTATTGGTCTCATTGTGATCAGTTTAATTTTCTCAAGCGTTTCTTCCATCCATTATTTCTAAGCTATTCTATGAATGCTTATAATTATTTTCTCTGTTTCTTATAATGTTGTATGCTTTCTACCAGTCTAGCAAACTATTCTGAGATGGGGAGGGGGGGTTGTCTTATTTTTTTATCTATAAAACTAAAACAGTTAATTTTGATTCAATATATTCTAGTTCACATTTAAACACAACTATTGCTTTTTAGGTTCCTCATCAGCTACAAGTGATGGTACCATTATAGGAGAAAATGCAGGCATTTTTGTTGGAGGACTTCCACAAGACTTTATAATTGAAAGGAAAGACATAGGTGAGAAGATTATATTAGTTGCATATTAGAATTTATTCTAAGAATTAACAATGACATTTTTTGTTGTGTGTAGCTAAGCATTACAGCGCAGATGCACTTTACCCACCACTTCTTCACACACAGACATTTTATCCATTTCACTAAATATTCACAAGTTGATTGTCTGCAACTATTCTTCTTTTAGTATCTTGGAAGGTATTTACCAGTATTTCTTTTACAAAGCTTGATTTCTTCGGTACTGCTTGATGAGATTTGTGAGTGTTTGCTCACCTGCTTGATACAGAAGCATACTACTGTACTACAAAGAACAGCTTTACAGCACAGTAGCTAAAGAAATAATCACCATATAAATGTAAAGTATAAAATAATATGTATTGAATTGAGTAGGATGTTCCCAACTTCCCCTTCCCCATATTGTAATTGTTCCATACTTCAAAACATTTTTTGTTCTGCTGCTGCAACAATATTTTGTTTGGGATCAAATCCAAGAAACTGTTACAAACAAGTACGTGTGAAAGTGTGCATTTGATTCTGGGAACTGCCCTGCAAATGTAAGGAAGTATATAATATGGGAAGGATTCTCATCAATTTGAAATTCTAGTAACTTGGCTGTTTGTTTATTTATTCATTAATCAGGCCCAACTAAAATAGTCACAAAAGGATTTGTGGGGTGTCTCCGCAATATCTTCTTGCAACAGATGCACCATCCCTATGAAGTCTGGGAACCTTTAAAATGGGAAAAAGCAGTGGAGCAAAGAAATGTTTATCACAATTGGGAAGGTTGTCCTACTTGCCTTGAAGATGGAGCACACTTTCTTGGGAAAGGTATATTCATATAAGTAAAATTGTTAGAAACAGTAGCTGCCTTTCTTTTTGTTTTAGATAAAAGAATATTGTTCCAACTCTGGAGGTTTTTAAGAAGAGATTGGTCAACTTTCTATCTGAAATGGTGTAGGGTTCCCTGCTTGAGCAAGGGATTGGACTAGAGGACCTCCAAGGTCCCTTCCAACTTTGTTATTCTGTTATTATTACTTATCCTTTGGATCTGTTATTTTTGTTCACGTATTCAGTTAAATTCAGGGAAACCTGAAAAATCCAACATTTTTCAAAATATATGAAATTCATAAAAAAGAAAAAGTCATATGAAAATTAGCCAAAGCATACCTGGCTTGTAAGAACAGACGGATGGATACAAATGAATATAAAAAAAAATATCTGCCTGTCTTCAGTAGTTTCTCTTTATTTAGGAGGATATCAGTTCTACTGAAGTTAAAAAGAATTATTTTTTTCGTGTAGGATGCTAATATATAAGTGTTGCTAATATATGTGGGCTGAGTTACAGATTGAGTATACATATTTTACATGTATATGTAAAGCCTAGATCTATTCCATGCATGATTCATATTAAACTTTATTTTTACTTATAGTAACTATAGTATAACATTTTTGCCTTTCTCCTTAAGGTTTTCTAGAACTCCATTCAAATATCTTTTTTGGTGGCATGGATTTTGAGATCTCCTTTATGTTTAAAACAGATCAATTCAGTGGATTACTTCTGTTCATTTACAACAAAGATGGGCCTGATTACATTGCTGTAGGTTTGTTTGTTGTTTTTGCTTGTTTGTTTTGCTTATTTGGTTTAATTGTCTATTGCTGTGAACAGAATACAGACATTTTTTTATGAAATATTTTAATATTTTTGAATGGCCAGTTGAGATCACTTGTTGCATAGATAATGTTTTAATTCAATTTTAAATTGTAGAAATGTTGTCTCTGGCTTGTAAAAAATGAAAGAAACAGACATACATAGAGACACAAATTGATTCACCTCCCATTCCAGTTCTCTAAGAACTGCAGGCAGCTGATGGCATATGTCCTGTTGAACTGACTTTGGATATTCTTATTTTAGCTTAAAAATGAAATATTATGCAAAAATGGATGTATTCTATAAATGCAATCTGAGGGGGAAAAATGTGTATATCTCAAAAGCTTGGATTTTGCTTTTCAAACCAATAACCCCAGTAGTATTTGTAATCTCTTTCATTGTTTTTTTTTTTCTTTCTTGTCCTGGAAATTCAATACAGCCACTGAGACTTGGAACTATATTCCTTAAAAAGCACTACACTTTTGCGTGGTTTAAATTCAAATGCTATATCGGTTTTGTTTCCTGCAATCAACAATCTTTTTTTCTCTTTCTCTCTTTCTCTCTCTTCTCTTCTGTTTTAACTTCAAATGGCAGGCAGAACTGAAAAGTGGAAGTCTGATTTTCCTACTAAATAATGGCATTGTCTCCACACATGTGGATCTCTGGTTAGGACTATCTTACTGTGATGGAAAGTGGAACAAGATTATTTTGTCAAAAAGAGGATCGGTAGCTTCAGCAAAGATGAATGAATGGACAGACCATGTGATGGAACCTGATTTGGAACAGCTATTTGTAAACTCTCCAGTCTACCTTGGAGGGACTCCAGTTGAGGTCCAGGAAGCATTTAAAGAACTGGGCTTAGAAGAGGGTATGTACTACATGGAGAGTAGGAAGAGGTTACACATAAATAACATGGTGCACATATTTATTGGAAATGTTTATAGCTTGAATCAAAGTTTGCATGGGTATGGGGAAGGAGAAATCAGCAAATCTTACTTTGATTTGTGTGTAAATGGAAATGTATCAATCCATCTTGTAGCCCCTCCTGTATGTTTAAGTAATATTTATGTAATTACTTAAATGGGACCACTTAGTATGTTACATTGAATTCCATGCTACTTTTTTTAAAAAAATAATAATTAATTATGTTATTTATACTATTATTCATACTTAGATTTAGCCATTATAACTAACAATAAATATTTCAAAGCTACACATAGAAATAAACAATCTCTGGTGTAGAGATGTTTTGTTCAAGAATAATTTTAAATAAATGTACTTAATTAATTTATAAATAATACATAATATCATATATATGCCATTTCAGTGAGCCAATCTGGTATAGTGGTTAAAGCACCAGGTTAGAATTCCCTAGCTCCTGAGTTCAAGTCCCATCTTAGACACAAAACCTGCACAGTAATTTTAGGCCAGTCACACTTTCTCAGCTCTAGGAAGCAGCCAAGAAACCAAATCTTGCCCCCCCCCCCCAAAAAAAAAACCTTGCAGGGATGAGAGTCCAAGCAGCTGCGAAGAGATAACACTGACTTGACATGTTAGAACTCCAGAAATGTATACTTATTCTTTACTGCAAATGTTTCTGTCTACTCAAAAGTCAGAAGGTTGGTAGATGTTACTAGGTCACCTGTTACTGTGATAGTGAATATTGGGCAGAATGGGCATTACATCTTTAAATGGCAGGACAGCTCGATCCCCAATGCAGCTACAGCCTTTTAGGTCCCTGGCACCTAAATATCTGACAATATGTAATGCCAAAATTTAGTCAATGTTGTTTACAAAATAAAACTATGGAAAATAATATGCCTAAGTGAGCAACAATGATACTCTGGACATATCCAAACTCAAACTTTCTATATAATTATGCAGTTGAAATCCCGCAAAAGAACATCCTCTATGATAATAAAATAATTAATAAATTAAAATAACCAATCACATCAATTTGTATTTGTATTAGAACTACAATTTCAAAATCAATCCTTGTGCATGTTTTTTTTTTTGCTGACCCTCCCCAAAAGTAGCATGAAGCAAAAATATTATATAGCCAAACAGACATATATAGAAAGAAACATAAAGTTTAACATTTAAATTGTTCAACTAAAATGTAGCACTGTAAGAAGTAAAACGTGCTTCTTAATTAACAGCTGAAGCCCTTTACCTGCTGCTAATCCCCTTACTATTTGCTAGGTTTTGGAGGCTGCATGAAGGATGTTAAATTTACACGAAGTGCTGTCGTTAACTTGGCATCTGTGTCCAGCAGTGCTGTCAGAGTCAATCTGGATGGATGCCTATCAACTGACAGTGCTGTAAACTGCAGGGGAAATGACTCCATCTTAGTGTATCAAGGAAAAGAGAAGCATGTATATGATAATGGCCTGCAACCATTTACAGGTACCACATTGGCTCCTTCCTTATAGGTATAGTTTTTGTTCACTTTGCAGTGATTCTATATTAATTTCTCTCTCACTCACTCACTCTTTCTCTCTCATATCCTCTCTCCCCCTTCGTCCCGCAAGAATATTTATATCGGGTAATTGCTTCTAATGAAGGAGGATCTGTATCTAGTGCCTGGAGCCGTAGCCGCACAAGAGAATCAGGTAATTAATGTTTCTGCATAGTGTTCCCATATGAAGTCTTTATTTAGGTTGCCAATATGTCAGTATGGACATATTTAGATTGGCACTAGCAAAACACAGTAAGCAAGTAATGCAGAATTGTTCTCTAAATGCCATGAATGTTGCAACTTTGTTGGCTGCAGGCTGGTAACATGCAAGTAAGGAGGCTGGGGTTTGGACATTCTGGGTTTTTTTTTCTTTAGATTTTTATCCTGTCTTTTATTTTTCAAGGAAACATACCACTACTTCTTCCTCCTTTATGGTTCTTCACAATAACCTTGTGAAATGAGTTGGGTTGAGGGAGAGTGACTGGCCCATAGTCCCACAACTGACTTTCATATCTAGAGCTGGACTAGACCAAAACCTTTATCATTACACCAAACTTCCTCCCCTTACTTTTGCCTTACACTTTTGCCTTACTTTTACAGAAGTAATAACAAAATTCCATACATGTATTTAGGAAGCAATTTCCTTCTGGACTCACTTTGGAAAAATCCCAAAAGAGCCATAAAAATATATGTGAGATCCTTTGCTTTTTCCATTCTACCCACTGCTCAATATTGATCCTATTTCTTTGGGGTTTTCTGAGTTCAATTGTTCTGACAAGCAAAGTCAAGGGGGAAGCCAGATTCACTTAACAACTATGTTACTAACTTAACAACTGCAGTGATTCACTTAATAACTGTGACAAGAAAGGTTGTAAAATGGGGCAAAACTCACTTAATAATTTTCTTGTTAAGCAATGGAATTTCGGGCTTATGATCATGTTGACAATTACCTGTACTCAAGACAATTAACACACTTGTAAAAGAAAATATTACCCTCCCAATCTAAAAACATTAAAAAGTAATTTAAAATGAGTATTAAAGTAAACAGTAAAATCATTTAAACAAATAATTCAGAAGGGATGATTCAGAAGGGATCACATCTAATATTTGTGGAAAAGCATTTCTTCCCACAGCTGCTATCTTCTCACTCTATTTGCAAGAGGTAACAAAAAGTGCATAAGTCACAAAAGCTGATTTCAATATTGTTTTTGTCAAAGCAAAGAATTTTTACTTGCAGATGTTTTGCTTATACAGCTTAATGCCACCATGTGGTCGACCATCCCAAAGTGAGTAAATGCAGCCATATTTTTATCCTAATTGTCTGACCAGAGTAAGTTAGACCATAAATTTATATTTACAATCTGACCAGAGCACTAGCAGCTACATGTTCCCAAGGGCTAGAAAATAATTGCACTATTTAATTATTTTTTAGTCAGTTTTGTTATGTCCCCTATGAAAAGGCCATCTGCTATACAGTGCCTTACCTTGCTCAGTGATATATTTCAGAACTGATAAAACCAATATATTTATGTAGTCATGTCAGCAATCTGATACGCTGTAATCTGATTGCTACTTTTAGGAGGCATCATACTTGGACAACACTTTGAAAAGTAACATATCATTTCTATGCAGTTCCCTTCTCTCCCCATTGAATGATTTTTAAAACAAATCTGGGTCAGGAGGCATAAAAAGAGAAATTCTTAGTTAAGAAATCCTTCAGCAGTTCTAATCATTGAGAATCTTGAATAGATATAGGCATTTATAGCAAAACCATTATGTATCATTCTGCCAAAGAGTTCTTTAAGCCTTTTCTTTGTATCCTTTGTGCAGTCACCTGAGATAAACTTGTTTCTTACTAGATTTTTACTTGATGTAACAGTATTTAATAAATACATAAAGATTGTTTAAAAATAGAATGTTTTACTATGGTAGCTATGCTTCAATGAGTTAAGCTCTGACTATTTTTAATGCTTCAATGAAAGTTTGCATTAATCATTTTCCATATATTGCTAAATGGGCAGCACCTACCTGACTTTGACTAATCTGAGAAAGCTAAGCGAGATGAGACATGGATACACCACCAGGAAATATCATGGTTATAGTCTAGGCAAAAATGTTGAAAAGAAAAATATTTTGGAAGAAGGCAGTGGCAAAACCCTTCCATATTATTGACAGGGACATGTTCATTTGAACTTGATTTGACACAGATTTCACATTCATTTTGTAAAGTTTAAAAAAAACCTCTGTTTCCAGTTGTTCTTAATTGGTCTAAAAAAAAACACATTACATGTGTCAGGTTCCAAAGAAGCAGGAAAGACTCCAAACTCAAACTTGGTTTGTTAATTCTTTACTTACTTTCTGGCACAAAATGACAATCACAATACATGATGACATTCTTGTTAGGGCTACGCTCCCCACCACCTTTTAAAAGTTTTTTCTCCACCCTGCCAACTCACGTATGCAGATCCACCCCATGTGACCCGGATGTGTTACAAACTCCTCATATTACAAACAATGCCTTCTCAGCACAATCAGCCTCCGTAGGCCTCCTACTCATATAATCATAGGGGGAGTCATAGGGTCCCCTTTGTTGGGGCATCATTTTAAACGTCCTGCAGCCCCGAGTGAGACGGGCTGTTCCCTCACTGTCGCTGCTATTCTGCCACTTCCTTGCTGGCCTGGGAGCAGTGTGTATCTGCGATCGCCGCCACTGCGTGCTCCCCCAAATGACAGCTCTGGGCCTGTTGGCGTGCCGGAGCTGACAATATGCACATATAATAAAATAATTGGCACAGCTCACTTTCTGTTGTCTTTGATAGACAAATTCTATGGATAATCTGGAATAAGATTAAATATATATTCTATAGGATTATTGTTGGGGGATGGCCTATTAATTTTTCCATATTAGGAAACATTCAGTATACAAACTGTATAGATTTAGTTTAAAACAAAATTTTAGGGAAAGTTTTTATATTTCTCTTCATGGAATATAGAATCCTATTTTATAAACATCTAATTACCATTCTTTCCTGGTAGTGTCATTATGCTGTTTGAACTATTAAATTCCACTGTCTTCTCGTTTAAGTGATGTTTCTTTGGTACCTTAACTGAAGAATGTAGAACATTACATATGTAGAGTTCTGATGGTTTTGAAATATAGCTAATGCTGAATGGCTCAAGATGTGTAGTCATATTAAATCAATGCTGGAAAGTTACAACTCTAATAAATTGTATATATGCTAATGGTGAATCTGATTTACGGCAACTATTAAAAGTGAAGAATGGAGCAATAGTCTTCTTAAGTCTGCTGTTCTCTCTGTTTCTCTTTTATTCATTCACAGTACCACAAAACGTGCTGACACTCTCAAGAATTCACAGCATAAATGGTTACAGCATTGAAGTTACATGGGATGAACCAGTTGGGGTCAAAGGTGTAATTGAAAAGTACATTTTGAAAGCTTCCACTGAAGATGGTTCCAACATATCTGTTGTCAGTACAGAGATTTCTAATACTAGTTCATGTACAGGTATATGCCAATAAATATAGCTTTAAAACAATAATATAGACATTAGTTTTTGTGTGTACTATTTATTGGTGAAATGATTTCCAGGAAATGCCATATGAGGAAATGAATATCAAAGTGGCATTTTCTGGAAGTTATTTCACCAATATTTTAACTTTTTTGCCAAGGTGCCAAACATACACTCAAATATTGCTTATTAATTGTGTGTTAGCATAATTAGAAGAACTACCTTGTATCAACAAGAATAGAATGCAATAAAGTGAGGACAGGGTTAAGTAGAGTTAAACATTTTAGTAACACTCTGGTCAAAGAGGAGATGAATTTTGAAAGGGCAATCTGTTTCAGATCATCATTTTTATCAGAATTGGCTAGGCATAAATAGATGAATGCCCAGGATTGCAGGAATTCTTTTTTTTCTGTTCATTTTCTTTTTTGTGAAATTGTTTGTTCTCATTAATGTGAATTTTGTAACCATTTTAATGTTAATTCTGAAATACACACACACACACACACATTCATTTTCTTTTTTGTGAAATTGTTTGTTCTCATTAATGTGAATTTTGTAACCATT